AGGTTGTAACCGTCTTTGTGGTGTCTGCTGATGGTGTACTGCATGAGATCATCTCTCAGAAAAATGCAGTGTAGGGTATGGGGGACGAAGGGGCCATTGTAACTATTGAAGGTGCTCCACTAGCAGAAGCTACTGGGCCCTCACATAAGGAATATGATCCCTCTCCCGAGGACCCAGGTCAGGGTTCTCATTCTCAGGACAGTTCTGTTCCTGCATTCGTTGTTGTGCCTTTGGAATACATGTACCTGAGATGAGGTCCAGTGATGAGGAGGATTTAGACGACCTAGCTCTTGATGCGCTCATAGTTAAGCGAGGTGTTGTCCACTCCTGAGTCTTCCACCAAGAGACCCACTACCAGGTTGCAAGCTAAGGTGGCATACGACTCTGCCCTTCAAAAGAGCAGAAAAAGTAATAAGAAGCAAAGGAGGAAGCTGGTGAAAAATTGTGTGCCCATAAGTGATAAGGCGATCCCTGTGGTAGAGGTGGAATAGGAAACATCAGATGAACCTGGTTCATTGGTGAGACGGTCCCAAAAGAAGAAAAAGTATGCTTCAGTAGAAAGGGTTTCAACCCCTAGTTCCAAGTTGAAGGATGTTGTGAGTGAGTTGTCGATGTCTGATGAGGATGAGGATGTGTTAGTCAAATCCAAGGGAAAAGAGAAATAAAGTGGTGGGAAGTCCGGCAAACGAAAGTCTAAAATTGTTCAGGAACCTGGTTCTGTGAAGAGGATGAGAAGTGAAGTCAGCCTTGGTTCAGAAAGCCTGAGGCACCAAAAGGTTCTTCTAGGCCGTACGTTTGACCCAGCAATCTCTGAGATGGCTGGTATGCGACAAATTCTTGAAATGGTTGAGTTTCAACGATGGGGGCACCTATTCCAAATAGATGCACCTAAGGCATATGAGGATGAGGTACAAATCTTCTTTGCTAGCTTATTTCCTGTTGAGACCGATCATATCTGTGTGTTGGTGAATGGAGTAGATATCGTGTTCGATGTAAAGTTTCTTAGAGAAATTCTTAAAGTTCCTTCAGTTGGTGTGTCTAGTGTAAAGGATGTGTGTCAGTTTAACTTCAGAAATGCCGTGACAAAAGACAATGCAAACCAAAAGGGGGACTAAATCCATAAGAAGGCATTGCTCCCTATCTATCAGTTGCTTTTCGAATTGGTAAACAAAGTTCTATTGCCTCGAGGTGAGAGGAGGTTAGTGACTTTTAAGTCTGACCTGTTCTTGATGGAGCAACTGGATAGCTTTACTCCTGTGAGCTTGCCTGCTATTATGATTGAACACATGCAAAAGGTAGCCACCTTCAAAGATGGTAATCATGGCCTTCCCTACGGGTTTTTGCTTACGCGAGTGTTTAAGTTCTTTGAGGTACCATGGGGCAAGCCAAGTTGGGGACTAAGAAGCAGACTTTCTCATAGACAACATTGGAAGAGTGGGAGTGCATAGAAAAGAATGGGGGGTGGGTAGGAAGTACATCAACCGTCTCACAGCTCATTAATGCTCAGAATAGTGCAACTGAGGAGATTCGTCGGTTGAAGGCTAGGAATGCTATCTTGGAAGGTCAGCAAGCCCAAGGGGTTCCGGCGTCAAATGATGAAGTAGATCGTTTGACAAAAGAGAATGATGATCTCAGGGCGCAAGTACAGAACTTGAAAGCAGAACTGCTCAATGAGCAAAAGTCGGCCAATGCCCGAATAGACCTTGTTCTCCAAACACTTGTTGCAGTTTCCAAGCCCTTTACTCCTAGTGCCCCCTAAGTACCCCTTCAGTGACCAGTTTCTAAAAATGTTCTTTTAAGTTTTTTTGTTTTGTTTGGCAGATGTTTTGTTTTCTTTTTTTGATGTGGTTGGGATGAAACAGTACTGCTCCCGTCTTAACAGTCCAATGTTGCCTTTGCTTAAAAATCAAAGGCGATTAAATTTTATTAATATAAAATCTATCCTCTTTTATTATCTCATTGCTTAAATTCTCTGTTTCTCTTCTCTATCATGTTGTGTGCACATATGCGGCATGAGTTAGCTCGGATAGACTTCTTTATGTTGTTTATCTGTTCGTCTCTTTTTAATGATGCCAAAAAGGGGAATAAATAAGTGTAGATAATGAGAAATAAGGAAGGCATAAAGTCAGGGGGAACTTGTGGAACTTGTGTTCTCCTGTTACTTAATCTGGTTCTCCTTGCTCTAAATCCACGATTATCAATGTTAAGTTTTTTATCATCAAAAAGGGGGAAATTGATAGGTTTTCGATGTCTTTGTCTTATATTTTGATGATCTAACAAACTTACTATCAAGGACCAAATAGGGAACCTGACACACATGGACTATTTAACGGATTCTAGCTAAATGTGAACTGCTATAGCTTGAGGAGATAGGAAACCAAACAAAGACCTGCTACCCTTGTGGTTCCCTCATAGCAGTACAAAGTCAATTGGACACAGCTGGAAGCGACGTGACCGCCTGCACTGCACTATCTCCAGTGCCCACTTACTCCTTGACCAACTAAAGTGCTTACATCATTTCAAGTGATGTCATCAAGGTGTATCAACAATGGGTTTATATCAAAACATCACTTGAACATTTCTGATTCTTATTCAAGCCTTTTGCAAAACAGAGAAATCAATTCTCACGAGCTTGAAGAACAAAGTTAAATGCTACTACGGACCAGTTCCTAAAGTTAGTATTTTGGTGTCCTTAGTTGAGTTATAACTTTGTGATTGTTCTTATTATATCTCCCAAAACTGCTTAGCCAGAAGCATTGATTAGGAACCCTCTTGTAAAATCCGTAAATTTTCTGAGTTTATGTTGTGACTAGGTTTAGTCATAAGTTAAAGTCTTTGTTACTAAAGAGTGACAAAGTGGCTTGTGGTGAGAGTATCACAAGTTAGTTAAAGTTTTTGTAACTAGAAAGTGACAAAGTGGCTTATGGTGAAAATACCACAGGTTAGTTGAGTTGAATCCTTTGCAATAGAGTTATTATAAAGTGGCTTGTAATAGGTGTTTACAAGTTAGTGAAGTTGAAAGCCTACAGATGTAGGTCGTGGTTTTTGTCCCCTTGAGTTGGGATTTTTCCACGTAAAAATCCCATGTCTCATTTACTTACAGTTTAGCATTCTAAGCATAACCTCATAGAGGACCAGGTACTCTACTGTATGGTGGACTCATACAAACTAACAATAATATTTCAACCAGCTCAAAATAACACCACTACGGCCAAGGGCCATCGCCAAAAAAAAAAGAGAAGAGTTCGACCTCGCTCGAACTGCAACAGGTTAATATTTCGACCAGCTCGAAATAACACCTCTACGGCCAAGGGCCAACGCCAAAGAAAAAAAAGAGAAGAGTTCGACCTCGCTCGAACTGCAACGGGTTAATATTTCGACCTGCTTGAAATAACGCCTTTAGGGGCAAGGTCCATCACCAAAAAGGGAAGATCAACCTCGTTCAAATTATAACGGGATAGTACGTCGACGCTAGCTCAAAACAACATCCCTACGACAAAGAGACATCGCAAAAGGAAAAGTTCGAACTCATTCGAGTCCAATAATGCCTTTGCAGCTATCGGCCGCCGTCGCACCTTTTTCCCTTCTGCTTATCGAAAAATTGACAAAAAAAAAGAGAAGTGACTTCGCCCAAATCAGCGACAGTTGGATCCCGCACGAACGACTCAAGTCAAGACTAACTTAGTCCAAAACAACGAAATTACATCAACTCAGTTGAGTCAAAGACGGATCCGTCTAAAGCAATAAGTCACCAAGTCAATTCCTCCCCAAATAGGCGAATCGAATTGAACTCCATTAGGACTCACAACGAAGTCCCGCTCAGTCCGGTTAAAATTGGTTTCCCTAAAATAAACATGGATCCACCATGCGAAGATCCTGAAATTTACGCCAAAGATGTGTAAAGTAAAAGGGGAAGGGATACAAAGGACGTATAACGATGAAAGCTCCTTTATTTAAGCAGTTGTGAAAATAGCCACAGATTATACACGGCTAAAATTGGTCCAGTACAAAAAAAACACAGAAACAGAAAGAACAACAAACAAAAAAAAACACAAACAAAGATAAGAACTCTTTCACTCGGCGTCATCACCACCCTCCTCCTCATCACCATCTCCAGGAAGCCCCTCTTCAGCATCAACATCCTCGTCGACCTCCGGCGTCGCAGGATCATATCCATAGTTAGCACGAGCCTCTCGCGCCTTCGCCCGAGCTCCTTCATAAGTGGCCTCAGAAACATTATCCGCTTCCCATAAACCCTTATATATGTCCCGCTGGGCTTCGGTATATACCTAGAGCTCGTGCAAATGGCGAGGAACATCGGCAGAGGAAGATTCGACCTGGGCCAGTAATTGCGCCTTTTCGGCCTCAAGAGTAACGGCCCTATCTCTCAAGCTTGAAGCTTCCCGATCAATTTCGCAAATACACTCTTTGAGCCTTGCCTCCCTAAGCGTCGTTGCCGCCCTCTCAGATTCCTGCTCGGATTGAAGGACGCGAATAGTGTCCTCTAAAGTCGCCGCCCTCACCGAAGCCGACGCCCAAGCACTCTCGATATTATCCAACCCGGAAGCCTTTCTCTCCAACTCAGCTAATTTTCTCATCCATTCCGCACTCATCGCCTCGACCCTGATGGCATTCTGATCCATTTCGGATTGCATCGACTGCACCTTCGCCTGAAGATGCTCACACTCTGCGACAACCCCTTTGCCCAATTCAAGTTCTTCGTCCTTTACACAAAGTTGCTCCTCGAGCTCGCTACTCCTGCGAATAGCCTGCATCAGCTCATGATCCCTCTTCTCCAGTTCCTCACCAAGAGATCGATTACCGGCGTTCGCCCTCAACCGCTCGTGTATCTCACATCACTTGTTGCGGTGGCGCCGATACTTCTCCAACATCGTCAGGAAAATTTTGGCCCGAGTACTTTCAATCTCCACTATGCATACGCTAATTTTGTCAGATTTGAACTATACATACGCTAATTTGGTCAAAATTACCGTGTTTAATATTTTGGTCTCAAGGGTATCATCAACCTTTACAATATATTGTACAAATGCAGACTATTGTTGACCACAGTGTGCTTACTAACTAGAATTGATTGTCACTATGCATTAGGCTAATTTGGTGAAAATTACCGTGTCTAATATTTTGGTCTCAAGAGTATCATCAACCTTTACAATACCATTACATTAGTGCCATCAACACCAATAAGCTGACCGGTGGCACCACATTGCGGACCACCCATGATCTTGAGTTTATCCCACTATTTTGGTACAACTATCTCTATTTCACTTGGGCGTGTAATGATAGTTTCACCACTGCCGCTGGATCCAAGAACGACGCTACAGGAACCATCCTGCACCAGAAGACGCTTGATCATTTTCCGAAGAAACAGATAAAATCCTTCTTTGAAAAAGAGGTTTTAACTACGGTTCTCAGACAAACATCGAGGAGAACAAATATTTGATCAGGCAGTCACCTTCTAAGAAAATGTTATATGTAGTAGTAAATTAGTAATTGAAAAGAGAACATCACATCAAAGTTAAACTATGATTTGTTTAATGACTTCAAACGCTTGAAAGATGCGGAAATCGTATAGGAAGAGAATGATGTCCAACAATTTGAAACATCCCAATCTGGAATGGGCGCGATGAGGTATGTACTTTTATTTCCATAAAGTAAAAATAGAATTATAAAGGTCAAAATCTGATCCAGCAAAACCAGAAACAGTAAATGAACAAAAAAAAAAATCAAAAGTATGATAACAAATGCAATATAAATTCATAAGTTCAATATAATCACTACCAAGTGTAAAGCTGCATGGAATATCCATCAAGGATATGGCTGATTTGCCAACAAAAACTACCATCAAGCTAATCCAGTTACAAGGATACCATGATTTATATTTGTGGTGTACATTTGACTAAAGAGATGATAAAAATTAATATCAGACATTTTAATGCAACTCTCCTCCGACTCTATGACAGGTAAAACACATGTCAATAAAGTAAAAACTTTGTATAGAACTTCCGGAGAGAATCCAGATATATTGCATTACCAAACTACATACTCAAAGCTTGAATAATAAGAGATGCATTTGCAGTAATGAACAGCACTACAGGTCATTCCACTCAGGCTCATCTCTACCTAAAGCTTCAAGCTATAAAGAAGCAACTGTTTTTATTAATGTATTAGGAGTTATTTTGGCATTAATAATCAACAAAAACGACTGAGAACATGCAAAAGCTGAACCCATAAAGCTAAAAGACAATTCAAATTTCAATCTAATATTGCAATGATCTATTACTGAAACTCACTACAAATACCAACAAAAATATGGAAGAACTAATTACACGCGAAAAGCATAAAACAATGAATCAGAATGCATGAACTTGAACAAGCCCTTAGTTCATCACTTTGCAAAGTGGAAACAAGAAATCATCTTATTTTGTCACAAAAGTCGGATGAATTCTTGTTTCCACTTTGCAAAGTGATGAAATGTTACTATTTTCTTTCGCTAGAATGCAAGAGATTAGTGGTAAAATATCCAAATTCTGCAGCAGTCACAAGTTTATTGGCTCACTAAGTAAAATGTTTCTCATTTTAACTTTCAGCAACATATATTAAGTGTTTTGTCATTCAAAAAGACACACAAGCTATTGTTAGGAACAGGGGCACACCTCATAAAGGCGACATCATACCAGCCCACCACTTCCAGGAGTACCAGGTATATATGCTGAACGCGGTGTCAATGGTGGTTGTCCACCAGGAGTTGATGGCAAGTAAGGACTTGGAGCATTACTGCATGGAGTAAAGAAAACGGAATTATATTCTCCATGCAAAGATCCAAACGGCAATGTAACCCTCCTTTTTGACTCCTGAAAAAGGAAACTTTGGTTACTGTATGAAGAACCCATTGTCTCTTAGGCTCCCAGCATCATTATAATTACCTCTAGGAGTGTTGCTCTAACCAGAACCAGGAGTAGGTGCTTGATACGCCGTTGAACGAGGACTACCTACTCCTGATATGCCGTTGAACGAGGACTAGACAACTGAAAAATGAAAGGAATCATCACAATCACATCAGAAGAGAACGCTCCATTTATACAGAAACAAAGTGGAAAAACTGAAAACCTGATATTCCGGACTTGACCCCCAAGAAGCAGCGTTTCCAACTTCCCAATTGTACCTAGCATTTTGCCATTGCAACCACTTAATATCAAGAAAATGGAACTGAAACTCACAAAATCTATTACATTAACAGCAACAAACTGAAATAGCAAGATTGTAATCTAAAGAGAGAGCATGCCACCTAAAGTGTAATCATAAACACAAAAGAAGACCAAAAACCTGCACTTCACTGTATCTAGCTAAATGCATAAAGGCTTTGAAGTACAAGACCATAATTTTTGTCTGATCCTCGCCCATCTTATATTTGAGAAAAGAACTTTCAGCCATACAAAGAGGAGAAATCATACACAAATGCATGCAGACAAATCCACATTTCCATAATCTAAAACCATAGAATAGACATGAATGTCTCATTTTATGTGAAGAGATAGCTCTCTTTATTTCTTCAAGGATGATATCAATTAGTTTAGGTCAAATAAGAACTAGGCAGGTTACATGGCCTTTACTACTTCTATTTCCAAAACACTAAGCCATTTGGATTATTTTCTCCGATGATACAACATACTGTTATAGTGACGCATAATGGTGTCACAAGGCGATTCACTGGAAAGGATTTGTGTCCTTGTTTCTACTCCGTGAGCGACCTATTTTGATAACAATGAATAAGTTCGTTAAAGGGAGCCTATAACCTTAGGACTCGTTAGAGAGAGTCCCAGATCTCTTGTTTTTTATATAAATCTTGCCTGCCCTTTTTATTCCTTCTGTCTCTTTAAATAGAGACTCTTAGTACAAAGCTATTAAGCAGAACTAAGAGTGTAAGAATATAGAAATCTACTCAAATAAGAATTCTAGTAAAATTAAACAACTGACTATTCAAATGCCCAACAAATATCTGCCAGGTGCATTTGATATTCAGATCTACTTATCCTCTTTGACGTTGTTATTTCCCTCAACCTGAGGGCCCACCTTGCATAAACTTTACCCACAAATGAGTCTGTAACACATACCTAGGTGGACTCATTGGGTTCCATGCTCTGTCAACCATTGGCGTCCTCATGCCATCATGGATAGGTGTTGCTATAGATGAAAATGACCAAAAAGTTAAGCTAAGTTCAAACAGATGGAAAAAAAAAAACTAGATGAAGAACACCATTGCAACAAAGCAGAAGAAAAATGGACCTCCATGATCTCTTATGGGTGTCATTGATGGATGAAGTGGAGTCCTCGAAGGATGTGATGGTGTTTCACTTCCCAAACCATGTCTATATGGTTCCCTAGATACAGAGAAATAATTAGACAATGAACACTAAATAACTCAAAGGTTGCAGCAGAAATATACTTACCGGAATGCTGTGGACACACTATCATTATCTGCAATATGATTGCGATCAACTGCAAGAAATATAGCAGTCAGCAATGAATGTTGAGCAATCAACAGTTGGAAAACAAAAACTTCAAAAAAGGAAATTTCTGCGAAAATTTGGCTGATGGTGTCCATGAAAGGGGATTCAATTAAGCTTCCCTCCACAAAAATTACAAAGAAGAGGGCCCTTTGTGTTTAACAGATCATTTTTATTCAACCCCTACCCCACAACCCAAGAAAAAAAAATGAGGGCACCCAGATTGAAGAAAAACTTGCCTGAAACAACTTTCATCTGGGCTTCCAGTTCAACGCGGACTGAAGTTCCTTGAATAGCAACAACGCGCCCCTTACAACCTTTAAAGGGGCCAAGGCGAATTTTCACATCAGCTCCAACTAAAGCATCATCCCCTCTTCCACCTCTCTGTCTGCCTCCATCTAGAGCACACCAAGCATAAAAGTTAAAAGAATAATGATTTAAATGGAACACAGGAAAATAAAGATCACAAATGTGACAAAATAGCATTTAATATAAAAGCCAAATGATTAAAAAAAAGGACTCCACAGGTGAACAAAATAAAAGGAATAACTTAGAGCATCAACAAAGCACCATTATCATAAACTTACAGCTCATAGCCGGGCCACCTCCAGACGATCTCATTGGAGATTGAGGAGCACGGGAAGGAGTTCTAAGAGGCACAAGTCTTGATGAGAAGGGTTTACCCTACAGGAGCTCCATTGTAAGAACAATTTTCAGACAGCAAAAAAATAGTTACAATAAATTGCAAAAACAATAGCTCAAACTTCCAGAAGCAACAAAATACAGACATACATTTCTATCACAATTTTCCCCTGAGCCACCAATCAACTCACAAGATTGGCTTTTGGCACAAATAAAACCAGCATGCTCAAGATGATGGCGATCATGAATAAAAACAATTCCTCTGAAGATGTGTTTTACAGGACCTTGTTTTCCCTATAAGCAAAAATAATGGTTATGACGACAACATACACAACATATGAACAATGCAAGTAACAATAAAATCTTTTGGAAGTCTAATACTCACTTTGTAAGGACCCTCAATAACTTTTACCATGTCTTTCACCGCGAATTGGTTCTTAAAGCGATCTTGGGCATTTCCTTTCTTCTCAACTTTCTCTTTGATCTCTCTAAGTCCAACAAGTGCTACCTCGGGTCTACCAGGCATACCCTTAAGGACCTATTAACATCTGAATGTGAGCAACACATTAACGGAATAATTCAACCTCAAAACTATAGTACTCACCTGGAAGGCTTCACTGTGTACACGTATAATCACACCAAAATTTTCATTGCTGCACAAAACATAATCAATTAAGAAATTTAGCTATTGGTTCGAAAAGGACTAAACTGTTTAATGCATTCCCGTTACTCTTGTAAGAAAAAAGGCTTACTCTAGTTTTACAAGGTCATGGAGCTCATACTCCCCAATACGAGTGAGATCAGATGTTACTTCAGAACTCTGAACAACTTTATCAGCCAATACCTGGAGCTGCAGATAAAAAAATGATATCTATCCCCATTCTTCTGAAGGACTTCAGATTAGAGACCTCAAATTACCATATATGCTCAACTTACACGCTCCTTAGTTATATCTGATATGATGTTCACCACATGCCCCTCAACAGATTCAACCATACCAGTTGCACCTTCATACAAACCAGATATTACCTTCACGTGATTTCCCTTCTCAAAGTACTTGCATAGCTCTTTGTCACTAAAAGCCAGAGTTTCCTGCAAAAGTCAGGAAACTTGTTAGTAAAGAATACAGCACACTCCATCCGAGACACTCATGCATGAACAGCACATATTTGAAGAAGGGGGATTACTACCACAGCAAGGTCTTTCTGGTCTAGTCTGATATGAACGATATCTTCTTCAACTTTCTCTACATGGCCTTTCATGTTACTGAGTTCCCCCTTAACCACAATAACATGGTCACCCTTCATAAAACGAACCTTTTTCCTATTTGCAAAGAAAGTGGATAGACTAGCCACATCGCCATTCCCACCCTCATCAAGTTGGCGAAATTTCTCAAGTTCATCAAAAGTTGGACGTATGTTCTGAGTTCTAGTTGATTTCAGAGCCACTGTTTTGTACAAGAAACCATCTCTGAACGACATACTTCCAATATTGTCAAAATAGTCACCTGTCCTCGTGTCTTGCTTACGCTCCACAAATATTTTCATCTTTCTGCAAACCATGAGAAACAGATTTAACAATTATATATAGACCATCAATATGTGCTCTTATTGAAACTAGAGATACCAAGGAACAATTACCTAGCTTCATCAATATTCATTAAGCGTGGCGGAGGAATAACTGCCTTCTTCTTTGGAACTTCCCTTCCTTCCTACAATAGCAGTATCAACAATGCAAGAAGGAATGTCAATTGTTTCTTAAAACATCAACTTTTTTATTTTTTTGAGAAGCGTATCAACATTTTCTTTTGGATAGGTTTTTAGTAATTGCCAAAAGCCAGTACTAGATAATGCTGGGAATTTACAAAGGTGTATAAGTCAGCAAGTTAACTAGATTAGGAAGTCAAAAAGTTCTAACAACGTTAACATTTAACACTCGTGCATTTCCAGAGTGCAGAACCTAAACCTATCATTCTCCTCTGCAAATGAAGACTCGAATAGATTCGAAATACAAGAATCCATCAATTAAACATAAAAACCTTGTTTGCAAGAGCATGTAAGTCAACCCTTGGAATTAATTTTACAATGACTCTCTGGTCCATATCATTTACATGCACAGCCTACAAAGCAGAAAGATCGAATGTTAGAAGAAAGCATCAAATAATTTACTCATTGCAAAACATAAGATGCAGAATGCTTGACAACCATTGCAAGGTCTCCCTTGTAAGTTCCTCTCTTCATTCTGACCCAAGTACCTCTGGCAATATCAACTGCTTCGCATTCAACCGTGAGAACATCAGTCATCTCTTTGATGGGAACTAGCTTTATGTTAGCGGCATAAATATTGTGTATACCCTTGCAAGCCTGCAGTAGATGGGTGGCATAAAAATAATGGGGTTATTGGGCACTCAATACACACAATATTTTACATACCTCCCTCACATGGGCTTCTTTGCATGCTTCTATGTATATATAGTTCTGAAGATGATCAAGGGCTACAACTGATCGAATTTGCAATTCTGATCCTCTATTTATTGCCTCTTGCATTAGGCGACCTGCAACCTTCCTCTCATGACCGCTCTACAGAACACGATGTAGAAAAAATTACAGGATAAAATATTGAGCCTTAAAGCAGGGTGCCAACACCATACCTCACATTTCACCATCCACAGCTTTGGATCCCTGACAGATGGCAAGAGAGCTTGCTGCTCAACATGATCTGTTGCTTCCTCATCATACTCCACATGAGCTGACCTCGCATATCTTTGCTTAATGCTTCTCGTAAGCTCCTCAAGGTCTTCTTCTTGGTCCTCTTGTGGCAACAGCCGGTGACGATATTCACGTCTGCCACCATCTTCATCAGGTATCTCTGCTCCACCATCTACTATGAAATCTGCAAACAAAAATCTAACATTCAACACCAACAGATGAAAGACCATGCAGGGAGAGATACACAAGAACAGAAAAAGCTCAAACTTACCACTAACATTTATAAACTAAGTTTCCGTTAATTTTATTCTAGACATATAAATTCAGGTCAAACTAGCTTCAAACTCGCAGAGTGGAAAACAAATTTCAGCAAGCACAAAGTGGACATATGGAGTATATCGAACTAAAGATTTCCACAAAGCTGATGCCACTGCCTGCAACAGCTAAGCCAGAAAGGATCTGTGCCAAATGATTTCCTTTTAGCCATTGGTGTTAAATATAAACAAAACCATTTAGCTGATGCCACTGTGTGGAATAATTTACCTGAAGCTGATGTCACTGTATACAACAGTTAAGCCAGAGTATATGTGTCATTCCTTTCAGCCAATGGTGTTTTTTTCATAAGACAGGGAATCCTTTCAGCCAATGGTGTTAAATATAACCAAACTATTTGACCCCAAACTTAATTAATCCCAAGTAAATTAAGGTTCGTGAGGGACCATTTCTGCAATAATTTCTTTTTAACCATGACCTGGCCATGTTTTGAAAGCCAAGCGATCTGGAACGGCTGTCTCAAGCTCTTAACAAAAGTAATCCATCATGCACATGGCCCAACCCTTTTTCAAGGTTCTTCTAAATCAAAGGCTGAGATACTCAGAGTTTCATGTGTTTGCCTCAGGAAAAGCAACCATTCAACCTCTACATGAATCACCTTGACTCAATACAATGCAGATATTATATACTATATAAAGCAATTTTTAGTGTTTAACCTTCCCAACTTTCCTTTTATTTGGTAAGGCCATTCCCGACATCCCATTCCCCTTTCTTTTCTAAAGGTATGACAATATCTAGCTTATGGAAGTAATAATATTTTTAAAATGGCTAGAACTATCGCACTATTAATTTGATAATTGTGCATAAATTCACCGGAAAGAAAGCCTTGCATGAACATCTGATTGTACTGTCGGAGCACATGATCTGTTTGAAACCTTCATATTGGTAGAGTGACAAGCTAACCTTCATATGAATGCTCTAAGTCCCTGATTTAGTGGCATTTTGTCTCTAAAAAGCAACTAAAAATGTGTCTTATTATCTTCCTTTGGGATTAGAGAGGGGTTGGTATCAAGTATCTTGTCTTCAATCACCAAACTCCTTTTTTTAGCATAGTGACAAGTTCATTTCCATTCCGTCGATAAGGCCAGTAGGCCAGGTGTGAAGCAACTTCACGATCCAATGAATTCCGTAGGAAAATTAGAACGGGATGATTGATCTAGGGCAATTGCATGGATCAAAAGAAAGACATTAATCCAATTTCAGCTAATAATTCTGCTTTGCCAATTGTAAAATTAGCTACAGACACTTTCTTGATACAACAACCCAGTATAATCTCACTAGTGGGGTCTTGGGAGGGTAACACAGACCTTACCCCTACCATAGGGTAGAGAGGTTGTTTCCAATATACCCTCGGCATCCTTCCCTCCAAGAAATCTCCACCTTGCTGCTCTTGGGGTGACTTGAACTCACAACCTCTTGGTTGGAAGTGGAGGTTGCTTACCATCTATTAAGACACTTTCTTGATAGATAAGTTATTATAAGACTGATCAGAGGGATAATATCTATACATATACATGTATACATAGAACACCCAAAAATAAAGTTCAAGTAAAACCCAGATGAACACCCAGATAAAACCTGTACACGAGGATAATATCTATACCTATGCTGCTATGCATGGACACCCAAAAATAGTGTTCAAGTAAAACCCAGACAGCACAAGAGTCAAGACCTAATGGTGTTTGAACAGACAGCACAAGAGTCAAGACCAAACAAAACCAGAAAAGACAGCCCTTCAAATTATACAGATGCATCCACTGTTAATAAAAGGTGAAGACTTCTTCTTTGATCTCCAATATTTTCTTCTGAACTTTTTGCAACTTCTTAGGTGCTTTATACAGCTTTAACTTGCAGTCAGTCTTGGAAAACCCAAAGTTGGACTCAAAGACTGCTTTTTTCTTACTGTTTTTTTTCTTCTTTCAGCTTATTCTGCTCAACAACAATAACAAAACCCAGCGTAATCCCACAAATGGGGACTGGTGAGGCTGTTTCCGATAGACCCTCGGCTCAAGAGACAGTAAAAAGGAAGCAATAAACAATAATAACAACAAAGTAATACGATAACAGAAGCGAACGACACAGTTAGTAGAAATAAAGATCTAGAATTAAAAAGCTACAATAATAGTACTAAAACTACTGGTAAGACTAGGAGAAACTCTCGATTACCTGTCAACCTTCAACCTAATTCTCGACCTCCGAACTAGTTTATTCTGCTCAAATTGAAACCTTATTTATGTAGCTTTTTCTCTTTGTGAGACATGTGTTGCTTCTTGGTTACTCTTTTCTTTAATAATAGTAGCATCCAAGCCTCCTTGCGCGCAACTCGACTATTTCACCATGTACCTACTACCCTTGTGCACTTCTTGGGTATTGTTTTTCAGTCCCATGTCTTGAGCAATAATTTATTTTTGCTACCAATTATAGGTAGAAAACCTCAAAGATAAATCTATTGCGCCCTCTCTCCTTCCCCTGCTTTCTAGTCTTAAAAATATTTTAATAAAGATTTTATAGTCTTAAACATATCCATTTCCTTCAGCATCCATCTTTACTCTGCTGTCAGTAGACAAGTAGTGCCTACAAAATCCTTGTACCAACTTCAGAAATGCTGAATATTCTTTCTCAGCTTACTGTTTCAATCACAGAACAATTTTAGATTACTGCCTTCCCTTGATTATTCCTTTCCCCACA